TGCATGTGGAGCAAATATTCTACCACTAAGCTCTCTCCCTAGCCCTTGTCATATCTTTTTGTTTGTTTGTTTTTTTAGTTATAGATGGACACAATATCTTTCTTTATTTATTTATGTGGTGCTGAGGATCGAACCCAGTGCCTCACACGTGTGAGGCAGGTACTCTGCACTGAGCCCCAGCTCCAGCCCATATCTTTAAGGGATTGCGGACCATTGTGTTAGCCTCTTTGCTAAAGCCTTTTATCATATGGGTCCAAGTATATTATAAAAGAAGAAAACATGCCTGGAATAGAACAGTCTGGGAAGCCCCAGGAAGCAACACTGTTTCTATAGACTCTCCTTGATCTGAAATCAGTCAGGGTTCTCTGTTATATAGGTTTATATTAAAGTGAATGCCTAAAAACCAGTACTTTGTAAGATTTCAGGTTTCCATGTTTTCTCTTACACAATTTTCTGTGGGGTGGCAGGAGAGGGGAGGGCATCAGAAAACAGTTGGTTAGGAGGCAGAAGCTAGAATGAGGATATCTGATAACTGAAGTTGAAGACCAGAGCTTCAAGCTTCCATAGGTTTGGGTTGGACCACTACTCAAGTCTTTCTAGCTCTCCAAGTCTGGGAAGAAAATAATTAGCGCCCCAGTGGTCATCAGAGCCCTCTATCCCTGCCTTTTAGTAATCATCACATTATTAAGATCCACAAGGGCAGAGAATATGTTCTGCTTATATTTATATTCCTAATGTCTATTCTGCACTCTCAACCCTGTGTCAGAATAATTAGGAAAGGCTATCTAAGAGTGAGGGAGTCTAATCTTAGGGTTCATTCTGGTGTTGTTTGGGGAGCTATAATCTGAGAAGTGCCATTCAGTTTTAAAATATTTTATTAAAAATCATACAGAATTATATATTACAATCTTATAAATATGTATTTACAATAAAATATTATACGAAAGCATAAATACTAGTATAACAAACCCCTATATGTCTGTTAATCCCATCCCTTTTTAAAAAAAATGTATTTTTAGTTATAGGTAGATACAATACCTTTATTTTACTTTTATGTGGTGCTGAGGATTGAACCCAGTGCCTCACACATACTAGGCGAGCACTTTACCTCTGAGCCACAATCCCAGTTCCCAATCCATCCCTTCTTAAAAGATATTTTCTGTCTTCTGTTGCCACTGATTAYATAGGCTTCCTCTGTCTTCCCTCTCCTTCAGATGAATGACTAACAGAATGTATTTGGGGGGGTGGCGCACTGATCCACATCCCCAACCCTTTTTTAATTTTTTATTTTGAGACAGGTTATTGCTAAGCTGCTAAGTTGCTGGGGCTGACCTTGAACTTATGATACTCCTGCCTCAGCCTTCTGATCTGCTGGGATTACAGGTGTGTGCCACTATGCCCAGCCAGAATGTATCATTCTTGAATCTTCTATATTGAGTACATAAATCTGTAGCAAAAGTATGAGGAGAAATTTAAACTTTTTGAATCATTTATTCAGGTAGCTATTTTTTAGCATCTCTATTTTATTATAAAATTAATCTAGTTTTAGTTGGATACAATACCTTTATTTTATTTTATTTATTTTTTAGTTGTAGTTGTCAATACCTTTATTTTTTTATGTGGTGCTGAGAATGGAACCCAGGGCCTCGCACGCACTAGTCGAGCGCTCTACCACTGAGCAACAATCCCAGCCCCACAATACCTTTATTTTATTTTATTTATTTATTTTTATGTGGTGCTGAGGATCAAACCCAACGCCTACCATGTGCTAGTTGAGCGCTCTACCGATGAGCCACAACCCCAGCCTTCAGAAAGCTATTTTTTAAAAGTTCCTAAAACAGATGCACTCAGAGTAACTGAACTGGATGATCACTTCTACCAGTGGAAACTTTTTTATTGAATTTATATAAATTAGGTAGCCCATAACCTTGCCCTTATTCTATTCCATAGAAGTTCCCCTGTGCCTCTGGTGCTAAGCACAAAACGTGATTGTTGTCTTTGAGTACAAATATTTGGAAAAGCAGAGAAACCCTCTACTATGATGTGTATAAGATTTTAAGTTATTTTTGACATAAGAATATATTGCTTCTATTCATTACTTTTAATGTAGAGACTCCCTTGTTTAAACAACCTTACTTTATTTTCAAGCATCTATTGAAATAATTTTCACTCTTCCAGGTACATAAAGTGACCACATAAAATGTAGGTTAGTTTTGCCCTTAAACCAAAGTATAGATTATAGACACATTTTCAATTTGCAACACCACAGTAGGCATTCTTGTTAAATTAGTGTGAGAAATTAACTTTATTTTGTACAAGGTACAATCCCTCTGCACAGTGAACAAATATATTACAAATCTGTGGTTTAAAAAAGTATTGCCATTTAATAGTATCTTTTATGCTATTGTACAATAAATTGTTTCTTCCTATTTATTTGAATTGTATGCATATCATTTTATTTGATTGAAAATGGAGTTTCTGAAAAATAATCGAACAGATCTTTCCAAATCACCAATACAATGTACAGTGCACATGCTTAGGCTGACCCTGAACCTATTTGTGACAGTGCTAGACAGAAGCTATTCTAACATTTTCTCTGTAAGATTGAAATGTCTTTTACCAGTGACTCCTAGATATGTGAAGGTGGTGKTGTTACCATAGATTAATCACATCCTCTGCCTTTTGCTTTCTGTATTGCCTGACTTGAGCTGTATTACATTGCCTTAAAAAGTCATAGAATTCTAGAGCTGAAGAGCTGGTAGAGCTCCCTTCCCACTCTGCTTCTTCACTTTTTATGCATGGGGGATAAAGGAGCCCAAACAGGCAAGTAACTTGACAAGAGTAATACAGAAGTCTCAACTCAGTGCTCTAGCCATTTCACCTCCTGCTGGATACACTTGCCAAGGGGGCAGTTTGCAGAAGAGAGATGAAACTTGAAMCTTGAGTGATGCTGCTTATTTGCAGTTTGTCAGGTAGCAGTTATTGCACATGCAGGATAAGGGAAGAAGATAAAACTTGGAATTGAGATGAAGTTTCTCCTTGCTGATTTGACTTTGCCATGCTGCTTCATCTTTGCTTGACAAAGACAATTGAGCACTTTGTGGCCCTAAAATACTGAGGTAAGTCTCATCTATTATTTCTTTCTACATATGTATGAGAAATATTTACTTGGGTCTACAAAGTAATTTTCTAGTATTTATATTTTAATAAGGCTTTTTTGGAAAGTAAATTTTCTATTGCTGATCACTCGCTCCCATGCACACATGCAGCATTCATGTAAGTATTATATATTTTCCTCTAACACTAAAATTTGTTTATGCCTTGAGAAGTGGGGGAGGGGGATTTACTCGTTTATTTTCTTGCTTTTGCTGATTATTGCCCAAACTAATGGGTTCTATGGCAGACTTCCAATTTTTATCAAGGGTTTTAGAACTCCAACACAACCTGTAGCCATATTCCAGCTTTGCAGTCATTTAGATCCTTTTCTTTATACCTTTTTTTAGAAGTCCTTTTTACTGGTTGTACAGCTATCAGAGAATGAAGTGGAATAGGGGTGAACATTAGCTACCACAGTTTGCCTTTTCTGTTTTGAATTCTTATAAAGAGGTTCTCTGTAGGGCTTAGAAGCTAGTTCCATTGGAATTATCAGAGCCTTCTTTTACCTACATTCATTATTAATGGAAGATATAGACACATTTGACCACTGGGATCTGGAGCATTAACTCATTGGAATAGATATTTGGCCATCTCAGTAGGTTGTGATTTTAAGGTAGAAGCACTGCATAGCTTCATGTTCTGTTTACTAAAAAGTCTTTACATCATATTAAAATGACTTATAGTCCATTTATCTTATTTAGTTTCATCAAAAAGCATAATGTATGTTAAGCAACATAAACTTGCTGTATCCACATTTGTCTAATTTCCTTTTAGATTCTATACTGCAAACTCAAGATTTTTAACTGCTTGAAATCAAGTACTTTTGTGAGTCAAGGAGTGCCAACTAAATTGGGAAAGCCAAATAGCCATTTTTAGGGATACTTAATTTAAAAAAAAAAACATTTTTAGTTGTAGATGGACACAATACCTTTATTTTTACGTGGTGTGGAGGTTCGAACCCCTTGCCTCACACATGCAAGCTAAGTGCTCTATCATTAAACTCAACCCCAGCCCAGGATATTTAATTCTCATCAGTCTGYGACTACTTACTTAAAACATTATCTCACAAAGCATAATGTCAGTGCTCTATTTCACATGGAATAACTTGGGTATTGCATGAACTAAGGCAATATGACAAGGCCAGGACTGACTTGCATTGTTCCAGAACTTTTAGTTGGCAAAATTTGGCAAAGCTGGCCTAGAGATCATTGTAGATTGAAAGAGACAACTGCACTTTGGAAACTAAATTTTTTTTGTTTTTCTTTCTTTCCTTTTTTTTTTTTTTTTTTGGCCGATTATCACAGGGCTGTAAAGAGAAAGTTAATTTGTGTTTATTAAAGTCTTGTTTTTAAAAATGGAAGTTGTCAGAATCAGATTATATACTACTGTAATCATGACTGTTGTGACTTGATGGACCAGACGTATATGTACAGGTACTTTAGGAATGGTATTAGAACAGTTCATATCTATGTACTAATTATCTCAGGTAGAAAAACAGATGTTGATGGAAATAGCAGCCAAAAATACAATACATTTCAGGTGCTTTAAAGTAATCCTCTCCCCTCTGCAGTCCCCTTTTCCTCCTAGGAAGGTTTACAAAACCTATTCTACATGCTTTATAAGCATCATGTTTCAGAATATTAAATATATATGTATAAATGCTGTATTTAGTTGAGGTTGATGAGTAGTGGTATCTTAAATGTTTTTTAAAAATCTCATAATCCAGGGCATTGGGGGCTGGGGTGGGTAGGTGACAGGATTTGCCTTTGTGAACAGACTTCCTTGAATAGTTACCCCAGTCCCACTCGGAAGCTCTTCTTTAGTTCCAGGTGAACTAATATGCAGCTGGAGTCAATCTGTACCATTATTTCAAGTCAAGGGATTGTCTTCTTTCAGAGAGTCAGAATATTCAGCAGAGAACACTGTAAGAGAGAAGCTTATCCCTCTTTAAGACTGCTTGTCCTGGGAGGGCCCATTGGCAGGACTCTGTCTTACTGGGAGAAGGTCATAATGACCAGGAATATGGCTGTTCCTAGGTAGGTCGTATGGATTCTGGACATAGCTGGAGTTATGACCGCGGCCTTCTTGGACCACACTGACTGTGGGCTCTAAGGAATATAGTGAAAAATGAGTTCAGAGAACAGATTAGCTTTGGTTGTCTTGTTGAGAAGGAAGAGAGTACTATTTAACTTGGCAGGGAGAGGAGCTAGGGGTTTATAAATCTATGACAAATATCTGAGGATAAGAACTGAGGCTTACTCAAGAGATGGTAAACCWAAGTGAATGTGCTGTCAAGATCCCACTCTCTGGTCAACACCAAGAGACTTAGGATATCCAGAGGTAGGGGTCTTATCAAAGAGCTCAGGAACATAGTTTAAACTGGGAGAAGATAGAAGAGGGCAACTTAGAAATTTGCAGATGTCCATTCTGATTGTTTTCTTTTTTTGGGATTTGTATCCACCTCAGTTGAAGTGCGTGGACCCATTCCCCATCCCCACTATTTCTGCTTCATATTAGTTCTGGTGTTTTTTTTAAAGCAGAGTTACAAGAATTTGATTTCCTGCGTTAGAGGGGAGGGCAATAGTGGGTTCACTTTGGATTCCTTAAAAAGCAACCAAAGGAAGGGTGTATTGTCAAGACAGGGTGAGTAGAGAGGGTTTGTTTTTACTTGATGCTGTACTATGGCCCTGATTTCACTAAGTTACTTATTTGAGACACCTACCAACTTCATATATATTTTTATTAGATGTCGACAAGGTTGGCACATCTGTGTACGGAGACCCCCTGTGCACAGGCGACTTCATTTCTACATAGCTGCTTTCTGGAAGCTTGCAGGTGAGGATGGGTGGGTCTTTAATTGTGGCATAAGGGTTTTCACTGCTGTTCAAGGAACAGGTACTAGAACTGCACACGGATTCTTTCATGTAATCTGCAAGGCAAGAGAGATTCCTTAGGACAAGCAAGGACATAAGTAGTCATTTAAGAATCAGGAACATAAGTCGTCATTTAAGAATCAGGCTGCAGTTGAGTTTGTTGGCCATCAGGAACCTGAGGCTAGAAAAACCTATGATAATTGAAGATTTATTTATTTATTAAATGTCTCGAGGTAGTCTTTCCTGGGTAGGTAGAGTTCTTTCTCAAAGAAACTTACATTTTGGAGGTTAGGAAAGTATTTGTTTTTAGTAATTAGATACTAATTTAAGACACCCATAATACACTTTCACATACAGTTTTTTTTTTTTTTTAGTTGTAGATGGATACAATACCTTTTTTAAAATTTATTTTTATGTGGTGACAAGGATCAAACCCAGTGCCTCACACATGCTAGGCAAGGGCTCTACCTCTCAGTTACAACCCCAGCCCTGACGTATAGTTTTGAGAAGTAATATTTTGCATTTTGTAGAATGAAGGCCCAGAGGTCACAACTAGAAACAGCAGTGCTAAGACTTGAATCCATGCCTTGGCACTCTTGGCCTGTGTGTTTTCTGTAATATCGTTCTGAATTCTTTCTGATGATTAAGAGGCTTCAGTTCAGAAGAAGCATAAAGATGTGTTTTAGCATAAGTGTCAGCAATTTAGCAACCTTTGGGTGGTAGACTAGCAGTATCCCTGCCTTTCAGGAGCTCCTGAATACATAGTTGGGTAGATAAGTATAAAAAGTACCTCAGTCTCAAAATAGACTTTGGGAAGTTCCTGTTTTCTAGCAAGCTTGCACTGTATCTTCCAGGGTTGCTTTCTCCAGTTCTCATGAATGCTGAAACCTATTTCAGCAGTATCGTCCTCTGACACTAGAACTAGTGCTGTCTTTCCTGCCATCTCTCAGTTGCCTCATCTCCAAGACTTCAGGGTACGTGCAAACTGGCTTCCAGTCATGAAACAAGGGAATTGTAGCTCCACTGGAGGAAGTCACTGAGGTCTCACAGGGAAAGGGGATTTCCTCTTTCAACTGCTACACTATTCCCTTTTTGGTGAGGATTTCTCCCTCCTGTAGATCATCACAAGGGAGGTAGGACTTGCCTGGAAAAAAAAGTAGACTATACTATGTAATCTGACAGCTCTGACCCTCATATGGAAGGCTTTGGCAGATGGGGAGTCTAGAAACAAATACTGAGTCACAGGTCCTTGATACTAAAGAGTGATTTAAGAGGACTTTCAGCTCTAAATTTCTATGAAAGATAGTAGGTGATGAAATTCTTTCATAATCTTTCACTAAAACCCCACAATTTACATTTTAGATGCTGTTTATCTATGCTGTCTCTAGCTTGTGAGATTATTGAAAATGTTTAAAGTGAAAGTGATATAACTCAAGGGGTAACTAGATGTGMCTTGGGCCAATGAGAGCAGAGCACTCCATGAGGCAGAAGGTGGTGGGATGTGTGCCACCACAAGTAGTCTTTTCTCAAAACAGGTAATTGGTTGGGATGGGATTTTTTTTCCTGTTAATTTATGCATCTGTTCTGCAATTGTTTGTTTTCTCAGGTAACAGTTCCTCAATCTCATACAAAAGTACATTTATTCATTTGTTCCTTCAGATGTTTACATTGCTGGATGATACAGATATTACTGATAGAGTGATAATTATTATTTACTCCTTCCTCTGCCTAACTGCTTATGATGAAATTGAGACTTACAGTGAGGAATTGAGTTCCCCAGGCTCATACTGCTTCAGTAGCAGACAAATTGTAGAGTCAGACTCAGAATACTTTCTGCAACTAGAAAGGGATGTTTTGGCTTTGTCTTAGATTATGACTTCTTTATAGCATATGACCACAGAGAGAAGGAGAAAACATTCTTACAATATAACGAGCAGTCTCAGGCAATTTCAGCAAGGATTAAAGAAAGGCTGAATAGGCCCAACTGCTGGTGGAGGATCACTTGGGGAGAGGTGGCTGTGGGTCCTAGATCATGACCTGCCCAATCCCACATACAATTTGCCTCTCAGTAGGTGCTTTGTTTTATTGATACAAAGAATGGTGGTAAATCCAAGAAGCCCAAGATGGCCCATGGGTCCCAGTGTGGATTCTCTACTTAAACAGCCAATGAGTAAGGCAACATGACTCAGGGCTTTTTATCTGGAAACTGTGTATTATTTAAAGAAAGGTTATCACAGCTGTCTTGGTTATCACAGCTTGGTTATCACAGCTGTTCTTTTCTAAGAATTTGAGGAATAGCGATAACTCAATTTGTGTGGCACAAATTCCTTTTGACACTTCTCATATCTTTCTGTGAAGGAGACTGAGCACAAAGGAATGTTGTTAATATTTTGAAAACAAGGAAACTGAATCCAGAAAGTTTGTTACACAATGTTTAATGTTAGTAAGTAGTTAAGTTAGGACTCAATCCCTGTCTTCTCTGATAACTGAGCAGGATGTTTTTCCCTCAGGACATCTTGTTATCCAGAGCTCCTGCCCTTATCTCTAACTGTAAGCGATCTGCAGATGCTTTACCTTACTGTGGACAAGGAATACCTTTAAACTGGGGCCAAACCCTGCTGAGAGAAAAAGGCTAAGCTGTAAACTTGATGCCTCCTGTGGGTATCCCATGATCAAGCTATGGTAGTTGGGGAGCCTTGAAATTCAAGCTCAATGCCTAAAAGAGATCAGCTAGCCGGTGGTATCTCCTTCACATTTTTGTTAGAAAGTCAGGGCTGCTTTCAATATTTGGGGAATAAATTGATTGCTTTGGAGCAGGACATGTACTTAAATCGATAAAAGAGAAGTTTGGGTTGGTGGGAAGGGATTAGGCTCAGATAGAGGTATCTTCCATTTAAGGGCCAGAGGTCAAGACAAGGGATGTAGAACTGCATGAGGATAGTGGGGAGAGTATGCGTGTGTTAGGTATTACTCCATCTTTGCTGGGAACTAGAGGATGAGGAAGAGCAAGGCAAACTGGAAAACTCYACCTCACAAAGCTACTCTCCAGCTGAGTTACTCACCTGCTTGCAAGAAGGGAGTGCAGGGGAAGGGGAAGAATAACCAGTTGCTTAGATACTTCCTCATCTTTTTACAGCCCCACCCCCACCCAGTCCATGCCCTTTGGGTATTTTGCAAAAAAAAGGGGAAGYTTCAGCCAAGGCTACCCAAGCTCTGGGGAGTCACTCCTCTGGGGCCTTGTAATTAGGATCAGAATTGAAGGCTTGGTCTTTATAAGTGACCTGGCATTTGCTCTCATTAACTCTTACCTCTTCCCAAATCACATGTGATCAAGTATCATCACAAATTAGTAAACTAATCATCCTTTTATGAGGAAGCACAAATTCAGAGAGAGGAAATGGCTTTCCAAAGCCACCTCGAGAAGGGGAGAGAGAAAAGCATTTAGCAGTAAAAGTGGTCTCAGCCCCAGGATGAAAGTGGGTGCAGTTCTTCAGTAAGTAACAGGAAAAAGAGTGGGCACAGACCGAATTAAGACTGGGAATGTTGGAACTGGAAAGGGCCTTAGAGGCGGTGCTAGTACAACTCTATTCTTTTGAAGAGGAAGAACTCAAGATCCAAGACATAGTGCTGTGACCTAGTCGGTACCACACAAGGAAAAGAACCCAAATCTCTCAATTTATAGGCAAGGGCTTTTTTCCATTGTGTTCAGAGAATACATGGATTCTTAGCAGTTCTGATTTCGTTTTGCCCTGTAGTTTTAGGAAATGATTTAATTTGTGGTACAAACTAGTTGTTAATTTGGGGTTTAACCAAGAAGGATTTGTTTCATGTCTTTTGTAAGTATTTCTATAAAGTTTTGAACCATGACATTTAATTTTTCTCTTTGTGAATTCTCTTGTTCAGATGTGTTGGTCCCCAACACCTGCTGGTACATTTGCCTACACAATTCTTTTGTCTTTAGTTTAAAGGATGATTATAGCCAGAGTAGTGAAACAAAACCTGACTGCCTGCCTGCTAGGGCCTTTCATGCATTCAGAGGCTCAGATGTATGATTCTATAAAACAGGAATGGAATGGTGCCAAAGCAGAGATTCTGCTTTCCTCAGCTTTGTTTTACATTTATGGTTTTGAGTCTAAAAGTAGCTACCTTAATCACAATGCACAGGATGATAAAGGGCACAGGAAAGTTGTGCTCTCATTTATTAGCATCTGGGCCTGTCTGAGCTTATTCACATTTGAGTCATGCATATTCTCAGCACTGAAAAGGCCCTTAGAGACCTTTCTGCCCAATCCCCATGTGTATTTCAGAAAACAACTAAAGTCACAGTAATGGAATGGACAGCTAGCTCTCCGTCCTTTCTGTTTTTTTTTTTTTTTTTTTTCCACCCTGAAATGGTGTTTGCTTCCATTTGGATGGTTTTTAAGACAGAACTTTTAGAAAAATTGCTAGTCATTCTCGCAAGGAAGTAGCCTGGGTCTGACCTCCTGTCCTTAGATAATTCTCTTTGGCTTTGAATATTCTAATGATGATAGTCACTCACCCTTAGTGTTCTCTTTCTCAGAACATGTTACTTACCCCCACACCTGCCCCTTGCTCACCCCACTTATAGTAACCATCACCATAAGAGCTGTAGCTCTCACTTGGTTAGGAGATGGTTGTATCTTGGGGCTAAGTCTGAAAGGTCAGAAAAGTAACCTGGGAAATGGGGTCAGTCTAGACCAGTGGTTTCTAAATGGTAGTTGGATAATAAGCTGCTTAAGGATACCCTGAGGTATCAAAAATGCAGAGTCTAGGACCCCCCCTCATCTACTGCCTCAGAATCTCAGGGAAATGGTATATGAGTACCTGCAGTATTAAACTTAACAGATGATTCTGGTGCAGAGCTAGATTTAGGGTATCCATTGGGACCTTTACTGTCAGTCATTAGCATTAGCTCTTTCAGTTTAGCTGAGACTCTTCTAAACAGACCTCAGAGACAAAATGACAGCCCCTTTACATTAGTACAGTGATTATAATATGCAAAAACATTTCCCATCTGTGGTTTTATTGGATACTCATGATAACCTTGTTAGATAATAGGAGAGGCATTTGACAAAAGGATACGTGTAATTATCCCAATCTTGCAGATGAGGAAACTGAGCCCTGGGGAGCTCACAGTTAATAGGTGACAGAGTTCCAAAGCCCCTTATTTTATATGTTCTGGCATTTAAACCTAGGACTTAGTCCAGGGGCAGGACTTGACCTTTCATTTTTGGCTTCACCCATAGACTTCCTAGAGGTAGTTATCTGTCTTGCATTTCCTATGTGTTAGGGTACTCTTGGGAGCCGAGATCTCTTGAGGTAAAATGCATACAATATTAGCACTGGGTATCATTTTCATCCCTTATGCCCCAGAAAGGCAGCAGGTGCAGGGTGGCGTTCTTCACCAGCACAACAGGAGGCCCCTGGGGCAGGTAGATTGACTTTATTTCAGATTTTATTATCAATTTAACTCATACTAATTGGTGGGATAATGACGTTCTACATTTCCGAAGACATTTAGTTGGCATCTATATAAAACCCACAAGCGTTTGCTAAGCAGGTGCAACTGAAATCGAAAGATGAATTCATTATTATTATGATTTCTCCTCTTGGGCAGAGCTACCCAGCAGCCCCAGGTCCTGTGGCCTTTTAATTTTTGTTTTAAGGGAGTGGATTGAGATATGCAGTTTCTCTCAGGCAGAATTCCTGGTCATTTCAGATCTGTACTTTCTCTTCCTAAGCCCTTTGTAATAGGACGTCAGGATTGGATACTCTACCTTTGAAGCCTTTGTCCATAATGTATGTGTTCTGACGTCTATCCATTCCACAAGCACCTGTGTAAAAATAATATAAGGGAAGAAAATACGGGGGTGAGGTTTATTTAGACTGCTTATGTTCTTACTCTTTTTATTTACCTTTCTCCCCTAACCAAAAAATAAATAGTTATTGGTAGAAAATTATTCTGGGCTTAATCTACCCTGAATCCGTTTGCATGTATAGGAATTCTTAAAAGGCTCGAGGCGTTAAGGTGTGCCACAGCGCCCCCTGGCACACTCGGTCTTAACCCTTTAACCTTCACCTCAGGAGAGTGCCTTTTAGGAGGTAATAAAAGGCAGTTCCGATGTCACATGCAGTCACTGTAAGTGAAGTTCCAGGCTCCAAAGGTACAGGATAAGAAGAAGCAGGACCAGTTTTTAGCTTGAGGGAAGGATGTAGGATAATCCAACTCTCCTTTCTGTTGGATTTTGGAATGGGTTAGAGACAGTGTTTCTCACATCTCTCAGCTCTGGTCTTGCCTATCCTCTATTGAATCCAAGACTCAATGAGGGGAGCCAGAGGGAGGTACACAGATGGATGAGGTTCTTGATTAGTCATCTTTATAGGAAGTATAGTAATACAGAACCATTCTCTCAGTTACCCGTTTTGGGGGGATGGGCCACTAGTATATAATTGAGATTTATTTTTGAAAAGTATTACTGGTGTTTTTCCAGCTCCAAGAATTTCTTTCTCCCTTTTGCTGTCAGTTTTTTTTCCTAGGTTCCCACAATGCATGGTCCTGATCCTTAGGCAGGCAGGACATAAAGCTTCAGGGACCATGTTTGGGTTATTTTGTCACTGCTGATCTCAGAAAAGAACTGGTCTAGTATTTCTAAGTTGGGACAGTAATAACTTTGGCTCAAAGTTAAAGCCACCCGTCCCCAGCTTTTTTGGACATTATATAAAGCAAGGCATGCAGCAGGTGCTTACTAAAATACAGTGTGACTCCACTTAACTATTCCCCTGTTTCTGACACTGAAGACCGACCACTGCTGCTCTCTTCCACAGAGTTCACAAGTTGAATTTGCAGGGTTTCATTGCTGTCTAACTGCTGTGTACACATTACTGAGTGATACAGCAGAACCAGGCCCAAGTTTTTCTCAAGTTGGCCATTCTTCTAAAAGGCCTACAAGCTGTGCCCTGCAGAAACAAGGCTGCACCAGTCTTGATATCAGTATCTAGTATCAGACTAGCACTTTTTACCAGACAAGAGATTTCTTTGCCCCAACTTAAGGAGGGTGGTTAGGCTGTTAATTTTTTTCTTTTTTTTTATAGAACAGAGCCCCAAAGAGTGGCAGAGACTTGCTTAAGACCATACCAGCAAGTGAGAAGTTGAGTTGCAACTAGGGCCCAGATATCCCCAACTGTTCTCTCCCATTGACCACCAACTAGCCTGCCTGAATGTAAGCTGCCAAATGACAATATGTGGTGCTTGGCTATGTCCTGACATGAGCCCAGAGGATGCTCTCATGTGGAAAGAGATATAAGGTGGTGGTGGCATGTGTATTGGCAGGGAGGCGTAGTTGGTAGGGTTATTGAGTGTCCCAGCTACTCTCCGGGATACCCATAGTCAAAAACACAGCATCTGTGGCTGGGATTGTGGCTCAGTGGCAGAACGCTTGCCTCGAATGTGTGAGGCACTGGGTTTGATCCTCAGCACCATATAAAAATTCAAAACAAAACAAAACACAGCATCTGGATATGGGTATAGAGTACTTGCTGCCTATGCAGGCTCAGTAGGTGGATGAATTGAGAACTTTTGCTCTTTCTAGTGCTGCGGGACCCAGGACCTTCAGAAGTTGGTAGAGCTGCTTGATATCCCTTGAGCTCCTGAAGCCAGCTGGAACTGAGGTTGGGCCCAGAGTTGTCCAGTGTCTTATGRCCCTGCCCCAGGGTGCCCTAGAAACCAGTCTGTGAAAACACAGTGACTAGAGAAGATATTTTCTGGTCATTAATTTTATTCATTCCTTTGATACCTACTTCTATAACTCCTACCCCCATGCTCCTATTTTAGGACTTGCCACATTTCCTTTTTGCACCTCTCCCAAGCTACCAGGTTCAAGCTTTATATATGAATACAGAGGGCGTTGGTTGACAGAGCCTCCCTCAGTTTCCCCAGATTTCTGCTCTGCAACCCTATCCAGTGATCTGGGAATGCTTAAATTTGCCCTTGGTGGGTCTGGGGTCTCTAGGGGACTTTTGGCTTTTTGGTCAGAGAACAAACTCTGTTACCTGCACTAATAGGGACTGGAGAATTCCAAAGGTGTCACCATCCCCAAGCCATTTTCCATTTCCCAAGGGTTGCATTTTATGGGCTACAGGGAGTGCAGTTATATTGAGTCCTTTCCACCTAAAGCAAGCCAGGTTTGTCCACATCTACTGGCCATGATAGAAAAGATTCAGACAGATTGCCTTCTTAGGGCTGGGCATTGGATTGGCATTGGGAAGGAGGGGAAGGTTCAGAAGCAAGACTTCTGGGGCCATAGGAGTGGCTCAGGTAGGGATGGGGAGTAGATCAGGGGCTGGGTCTGGTCTGAGAGGGTGGAGGGTAGGTCTGGGGCATCTGACCTGGCGAGTGTGGCTCAGCGTGGTGGCTGAGGTGTCTAAGTTCAATGTAGAAGTCCTCGGGCGGGTACCTGGCCTCCAGGGCACTGATCTGGAAATGGGAGTCTAGTGAGAGGAATGACAGGGAGGAGCCATTATTTCTGGGGCCTGGTGTGGTAGGAAGAGGGGGTGGGAAGTATCTGAGGAGGCAAGGGTCAGGGTGGAGCAGCCTAGAAGGAATCAAGGCCTCAATGTGTAAAGTCCAAAGGGGCCAGGGCTGATGGAGCAGGGTATCTGCTAGAGAGCCAAGGCCATCTGCCTTGTTTCCCCCATACCTCCCACCTCCACCCCATACAGGGCACAGGGAGGAAGCCCTTGAAAGGAGCACTTTGGTAGGGCCTGGGTCAGACAAAAGTCTTTATCCCAGACGGTGAGCAGACCTTTTGCTTCCATCTAGAATCCCCATATTCCAGCCCTACCTGTCTTCCTTTGTGGTCCCAGGGTCATAACCACCCACTCCTTATAATCTGTTACAGAAATTAAGGGAGTCCTGGGCTTCATTTGCTTGGGTTTCTCCTTGTCCCATTCTCCCTGGGGCAAACTGTGCTCAGGACTTACAACCTTCTCCCTTTGAGCTGGGTTAGGGCCCTCTCAACATGGAAGAAGAAAACGATGGATCATGATGAGGGGAACCAGACTGAAACCACTACTGACCTAACACGTTCACATAGCTGTAGGGGGTCCAGCCTGCTGTGTCTCTGTCAAGGGACTTGTTACTGAGCTGTTTGGAGAGTAGGAAAGCCAGTTAATACCTAGTTCCCCCAGGTTCCCTCCCCAGCCGTCACTTGGTTCCACCTCAGCACACCCACTCCTGTGATGATTTTGGACTCAGAGGGGAGGGAAGTACTAAATGAGAACCAAAATAGGGTCTTGAGTCACCATATTGTGGCTGAGGCCAATGGGAACAGAACATCCCCCGTCTACACTGTCAGGTTGAAGTTATAGGATTCCCAGGCTCTTGTGGCAAGGGAGAGGGCAGGAGCAGGGCCTCCCAATGGCCAAGAAGGCTTGAAGCAAGTAAGCGCCTTTCAGGGGTAGGGCTAAGCTGCACGAAAGGGGCTCTGGAAGTGCCTCAACTGTAACATGAGGCCATTGCCACCACAGAGGTAGGTGTCAAAGCTGCCCACAGTGCTTGCCACCTGACCTGGGACGCATGATAGTCTCCCTTTCATATGACGAAGGGAAAGCCTCAGAGCAGGAAGTCTGGAGGCTTATGTTCAATTCTCCCTACACCTCACAGCCACCCTTCATATGAGGCAAGCATGTTATCCTCATCTCACACACGGGGACCTGAGTTCTGGCTTTGAGCTTTGCTTGAGGACACACAAGGAGTCAGTGGCAGAGCTGAGTCTAGAACTCTGACCTCAGCTCCCAGTCTGGTGTCCTTTTGATGTTGCCATAGCTTGTTGCTTCTGCTATATCCCTTTCTGCCACATTGAGGGGTCCTTGATCATGTAGAAGCACTTGGGGATGAGGTGAGATGAGCCAGAGAGTCAGAATACCCAGTAGGGCACTCTGCAGTAACTTTGGCCCCTTTCTGAAAGGTGCTTCCTTGTAAATTGAGGCCAAGAATGCCATTGTCTTTCATTTCTAGTGTCTTTTGCCTCTAGCCTGATGCAGCCTTGGTAATGTGGTCTCCTACTGGGAAACTCCAAATTTTCTTAAGATCCCAGCTACTCAAACAAGTCTAAAGGTAAAGCTGGGAACAGAGGTCTGAACAAAAGGGACATACACACAAAGTGGCCAGTGCTAGTGGACTATGTGTGGGGTTGATGGCCATAGACTTTACAAGGGGGCCTCCAGGTACCCCACATGCAGCACTCCTGTTCATAGGAAAACAGGCTGGGAGGGGTTAGAGGATGGTGCCTTGACTGGTTGCTTGAGGCTGTACAGAGTCTTTGTTAGCATTGCTGTGGGGTTTAGGCTCTAGTACTCCCAAGTCTGTGGACTGGTGGTTATTCTTCAGGGGGCAGACAAGGAGTGTGGAATTCCTAGAGCTCCAAGTCAGTGGCCTGGAATATGAAAGCTATGTTCCTGGCCCAGAATGGATGTTATAGGAAGCCAGGAGTCCTGGAACTGCTCATTCCTCAAAATGGCTCTGCTGGTGTGTGTGTGTGTGTGTGTGTGTGTGTGTGTGTGTGTGTGTGTGTGTATGTGTACATGTATATGTGGGCACATACATAGGTGTCAGGAGGTTTGTAGCATGAACCCATTATTCCTTGTTCTTGGGTCTATTTGTCCTCATTCTCTCTCCCAGTGCCTGGTCACATACTAGCACATTAAGGGGGCACACTACTATTATCTATAAACAGATGTACTGAGACAGCCCTGCCCAAAGGCCTGTGACTAAGATCATCTTGCTGTGCCATCAACCAGGGTTTTGCTGGGAGCTGTCAGGGAAGGCCCCATCCAGGAGAGTGCACAATCTGCCCAACTCCCTGTCGAAGTGGACACTGGCTATGGCTGATGTTTGAGTTACACATCTCTTGTGTTGGTTCAGATTGCAACAAATGGTGTGTACTGATGACACGGTATGTTCAAGTTCAAAAAACATTGAGTGGTTACCTGAGTAATGGTATATTGTGCTGGTTACACACATTGTATTGCTAACATTCTGTAGTGATTTGTGGTAGGTAGTATAGTGTTTTGATTATGTGTTGATGTTGGCAAAGGTGTCTAAATAGAATATACATGGTTATATGTAACAAGAAAGCTACATATGATGATTAAATGACTTGATACCAATTGGTTCCACACAAGGTGCAGGGGTATGTTACATACAGTGATGCTGTAGATTGGTTACATGTGATGCCTGCTGATTACAGTACACTTGGCTCCACATACATGCTCTCATTACATGATTCTGTGTTTACATGTACCATGAATCCCAAGCCTGCTCTTAATGAATTAGTTCCACATGGGCAGAGGTGAAGGCTAAATGAGAGAACAGTGGATGGGGACTGGGGATTTAGGGGCCCGGTACCTTGGTGGGGCTGTTCCTGTCCAGAGTGCTGGCCTGGCTGGTGGCAGGCCCCCCGCACGCCAGTGCGTGGTAGCTGGAATTGGAAAAGCACTGGGCATGGCTGCTACTTTGAGACAAATCTGGGAAGAGAACAAGGTGCCATATTCCATCACATACCTCCCCCTGGCATTAGACACCCCCAAAAGTAATGCTTGGGTTGGGCAGCCTTGAGAGTGCCCTGCAAAGTGACCAGTTCCCCTTCTCCCAGCTTCCTGGCACCCACTACCCTATGGAAATCTGGAGAGCCTGGTTTGCTGCCTCCCTCATGCCAGCCCTTCTGCAGCATGCAGAATGCAAGTCAGGCTCACCAGTGTGTAGAGGGTGATACTCTCAGTTGGAACCTGTTGAGAAATGTTGGCCCTGATGGCCTCACTTGTCCCTGGGTTGCTATTTAGGATGGGGCCAACCTTTTCCTGCCTACCCCTAGGGTCAGACCCCATACAGAGAATCCCACTCCTCTTGACCCCAGCCCTTTTCTCTTGAGGATTCCATGACCTTTCCATAGAGCTGGGGAATACCAGAGGAACGGTATGAGAAAACCCAGCCAGCCTTACTCATTATGGTCAAAGAAGAAAACACCCAAATCTCTGTGGGTTTGGGCTTTCATCAGAGGCTGTTGACATTGGCTGAAGCATGTAGGCTAGGAGTTCTTTGAAGGCAGGGGGCTGTACCTAGGCCACCTGTCTATCCTGAAGCCCCTAGCATTGAGCTGGCAAACAGCAGGTGACACAGTAGGAATGGCTAAAGGTCTGGATTCTCTTAAGTACAAAATACGGGAGGCTGGAGGTCTGCCATAAACTGGAGGCAGCTGCAGTGAGCTGTCCTGTGCTCACCCAGGCAGGCCCAGCCTCTCCTGACCCAGGATTATGAGCATTTTTCAGAGCATTTTGGCTTCTACTGTTAAGCTAAATATGAAGCAAAAAGCCTTATCTCCAAGGCGACAGTCCAGGTTAAGGGGAGAGAGAGAATCTGGCCCAGGATCACCATACATACACCCGACTTGGACTCCCAGGGAGAATGCCCATTGGAGGTGTCACCACATCTGTGAACACCCTCTTCTACTGGACTAATAGGGCCCTCCTGCCTCAGGGAAGGTTGGCCTGAGCCATCACCAGGAAAAATGAAATGTACAGAGCCTGGGCACTAGAGCCTAAGGCCTAGCCTCCTGCAAGGCAGAGGCATGGGGCTGGGGAGACATTCTTTTGGAGAGCTTAGGAAAGCTACTGCTTAGTATAGGTACCCCTGGGTGAAGCTTAGGATGGGGAACCTGTGGGGAAATAGGACCAGGAAATACCAACCGTAGCTGCTCAGAGTTGGGGATCCAGGAAATGATAATGCTTAGAGCTCCATGTACCTTTTCAGGTAGGCTCTCACTTCCCACCCGCATCTGGAGGTGACCACACCCAGACCCAGCCACCAGCACTGCAGGCACAACCGTCTTCATTAAACCTGGGTGTCTGCAAGGATGCTGTGTAGTTCCTCCTGATTGAAGAGGGAATACCCAGGGTATAGCCCTTACCTGAGAGGGAGTAGTCAGTGCTGGTCATTCTCATGGCAGGTGTGTAGGAGACACGGGGAGCCAGGTCCCGCCCCTTCTCTTTCTGTCGCCGCCTGCGCCAGGCAAACAAGCCCAGCAGTACCACGATGAGGAACAACAGGAGGACAATGCCTGTGACAGCACCCACTGAGTGCCGCTCTGCACCCAGAGCTGGACTGATCTTGGTGTAGGGATTCAGCTCTTCCATCATGAGGGCAGCTGTGGGTAGAGGAAGAGCCTGAGCTGGTCCGGCTTGCTCTTCAGATCTCCCAGACTCCTTTAAGCCCTCTAGTGGTAGAAGACCTGGTACTGGAATTGGTCCTTTTCAATCCCTGTGTGACCCACCCCCCATGGAGCCTCAGTTTCTTCAACCTCCTAAAAGGCAATGGAGTCCAGGGTCATGGCAAGGAGCAAATGTAACTGTGGTTGTGAAACAAAATAACGTTTATTGAGTATTTTGTTCTGTCACAAAAATGAGTTAGAGTTACTTAATCTTTGTGGCAGCCCAATAAAAAGGGATTATTCTCATCCCTTTCTACTGATGAAAAATTGAATCACCAGAAGGTGAGGTAACTTGCCCAAGATCACACACCCAGTAATTGGCAGCTAGGAAGAACTGGAGTCAGCTCCTTTCCCTGCTCACCAGCTTTGTGACACATCTTAGAGTTGGTTCACTCGTGACATAGAGACAGTAACCCCACCTTCCCAGGGGAGTTGTGAGCACCCAGTGATAGACTGGCAATGAAAACTGGGAGTGCTGCACCTGTGTGCCTAGATTACTGCTCACAAGGTACCTCTTGATTATATGTGAGGCTTGCCCCTGCTCTGTGCTGATGCTCAGTCTGGGGGACCATCCTGCCACCCAGAAGCATCTAGACCCTTCCTTGGCTGCCGGCTGCTAATGAACAGAGCCAGCCATCATTACCAGGGAGTAAATGTGCTGCACTATTCTCCATGATATCTCCTCAGACGGCAGTGGAAACATGGCTTCTGACCCCTTTTCTGTAATGCAGGTCATTGAGAGCCCATTCTCCTCCCCCATCTCCTAAACCAACAATCATATAATCCCTCACAGGTTGGTAGCACTTTATAAAAGGTTTTATGTACACAAAACCACCCTGTGTGGAGTGCTCACATGTGCTAGGTGTTTTCCTGAGTCCTTTGCTCAGTGTCTCAATTGATCCTGGCAGCTGCACCATAAGGTCACCTGACTGTATAGAGCTGGAGCCAAGGTAGAGCCCCTTGGCCTCCAGAGGAATCTTGTGTCATGGGGCAAGACAAGTCTCTTCCCACTTTGCATGTGACATAACAGGCCTAGCAAAAACAAATGACCTACCCAAGGACACCTGGCAGGTAATGGCAAAACTAGAACTTGGCAGATATTCTGACTTGGTCTGGTTGCCTCTCCATAACACTGGCTTGTGTTTACCCTTGCTTGATTCATGTGAAATTTGCCAAGGATGAGCAGGGGGAAATGGAGTCTGTCTACAGGTGTCTGCCTCCACTCTCTTCCCAAATGTTAGTCGAGGGAAGTATTCTTCAAAAATACCAGCTAGTCCAGCTGGAACTCCATGGAGACTCCACAGTGCCCATGCACCCTGTCACCTGTGCATTACCTTGGTCACACCTGATCCCTTTGAATCCAGGGCTGCAATAACAGGTGCCAGTGACGTGGTCACAAGTGGCATTGTTCATACACTCACAGAGCTGCTGACACCCATAGCCAAAGGTTCCTGGGGCACATCCTGTGTGGCATGAAAAATGTGGGTAGATAGTGAGATGCAGCCATTCCCCAACCCTCCCATTCCACGGAGGGTTACCTACAGCAACAGGCCAGTTCTGTCTGTGGTGTGAAGCCTGTTTAACCGAGGCTCCCATTGTGTTTTGTTTAGATATTGGAGGTAGACAGAGCACTTATAGCCCAGAATGGTGGGATATGGGGCAGAGGAGAAGAGGGCAGGACCCACTCACCCATACTTCTTCCATGTGCCAGGCCCTGAGCTGGGTGCCACAGGGACTTAAACAAAACAAGAAGATCCTGCCTTTCTCTAGTCCCTTATATACTCCTTATATACACAGCCCTTGCTGTGCCCTCAGTTCCCTCCCCTGGAAACTCTTTAAGCACTAGAGTAGACATAGCCCTTGGGTTTTTCCTTAGGAATTACCCCAAAAACCCGAGCAGGGGGTGCAGAATCTTGAATGAATGGACCTTCAAGGGGGACATTGCCCCTTTAGGAGGCTGAGGCCTGGCACCCAACACCCAGGATCAGGGGTTGGGGCAACTTACTCTGCTCACAGTGCTGCCCAGTGAAGCCTGTGCGACAGGTGCACTTGCCACTGATGTGATCACAGCTGGCACCATTCTGACACTGGCAAACGCGCCCACAATCTTTCCCAAAAAATGCTGCTGGGCAACCTGGAGAAACAAGATCTCTGGTCACAGGAGTTTCTGCAGAGTCAGGACAACTGTGGAGGTGCAGCTGGGACCAGACCTGTCTCAGTCTCCTCTTTCACGGAGCATAGGGTAAAGACTAGTGAGACCCTGGACCAGTGCCGTCTCCACACTTTCTACCCTCTTGCTGAAGGGGTAGAAGTGGGACTGAGTAGTTCTTCCTTCAAAGGGGTCTTGGAATCAGAGGCCAGACTCAGATCTCTTTGTTGTATGCCATAGGCTGTTCCTCTCCATTGTCCAAGGAGGACTTGGTCTTTGTGATTGCTGGGGTATCTTAGATCCCTGACCTTCCAGAACTTTGGGCCTGTGAACCCTGAGTCCAATAAGACCCTGGGGCCAGCTTCTTCCCTCCCTCTGTTCAGGCCTGGACTATGCTCACGGTGGCCAGTAGGCTGCAGCATGGGATTGGGAGTGGCTGGGAGGCCAGGAGGTGGGGCTTACGCTGTGTGCAGAAGAGTCCGGTCCAGCCCGGAGTGCAGTGGCAGGCCCCATCCTCAGCGCTGCAGCTGGCCCCGTTGTGGCAGCTGCATGTGTGGAAGCAGGCAGAGCCCCAGAACCCAGGTGGGCAAGCTGGGGGGTGGGTGGGATGCAGAGGGTGAGGGCAAGGCAGAGAGGGRCAGATGGAAAGGGAGAGGAAGGGGAGCACATGTCAGAGCCAAGATGCCAGGATAGAACCATTTCTTGGCTTTCAGGGGCTTGATGCACTGTTCCCAGATTTCCTCAACTCACTTCTTAGCCTAGTCGCCCAGGATTTTCACTGGACCCCGATTCTCTGGCCACTCTCCTAGTCTTCAGTGACTGCTGAGCAAGGCCCAGAGGGCTCTTGTACACTCCCTCTCCAGGGGCTGCCTGATTTGGAGCATGTGAATAAATACTGGGGCTTATATGAATATACTGTGTGCACTAGCTTTCCCATGAGAGTGGGGACTTTTCCAGGGCAGGGGCTGTCTCTCCTCTTAGCTGGTGAGCTGAGGAAGGAGCCCAAGTTGCCTAAAGAGAATGGAATTCCCTCAGGCCACACCATCTAACTGGGACCTCTTATGACTACTGGCTTGGTCTCACCCATCAGAGGAGGAGCTCCACAGGGCTGGGGCCAGGTCTCTGTCCTTAGATTGGGGGCCCCCTGGAAAGGGGATGCTACCTTTGAATCCGACTAGGTGCACCTTACATGAATGGCCTCTATAAGGCCCTGTCCAGGCTTAGGATGCCCAGGACACCACACTGGGCACACAGAAGGCCTGCATTCCTCCCAAGGTGACTGCTTTGGTCTTGCCTACTTCCCAAACTCCAGCATGCCATCCAAACTCRGGGGCTGCTCCTCACACAGGTGCTAATGGAGTATTAATCCTCAAAATTAATAGCATTCGTGGTACTGTCAACAATATCTTTAATAATAGGAGTTAAAACATCCTTGGTCAGTCCTGGTGATTTTTCATGTGAACTAGAGAGCTGAATGGGGATTTTGTTCCTGAGTAGAGGTGCCAGGGCAGAGAGGTTCTTGGCAATGAAGGAAGTTTCAGGGACTGACCCTAGATGGGGGTATTCCCATGGGGAGAAGCTTACCTTGTGAGCAGTCCTTGCCAATCCATCCAGGAAAACACTGGCAGGAGCCATCGATGGGGCTGCAGGTCCCATTGTTGGCACAGGAGCAGAGCTGGGCACAGTCCTGCCCAAAGTGCCCTCCAGCACATACTGTGGGCACAGGGTAGCCTGGCACCTGTCCTGTCTCTCATACCCCTAAAGCCACCACCCACAGCTACACCCCCAGAGGGTCCTGGGCCACAGCCACAACTATCTTGGGGACTTGGATCTGGATGGCACCCTTATCACCCTTCTCTGTTTGCATATAAGTGTGTTTCCATCTTCAGAAGGCTCTATTATGATCCTTTTTGATAGGAACAGGCTGAGGCCCACAGAGGTGGAATCACTTGACTTAGGTCTCACAGACAGGAAGTGGTGAGGCTGGGCTTTACCCCTGTGGACTGTCAGTCCAGTGCTCCCTATCCTGTTCCCCAGCCTGCAGCTTTGCATCACCACACATGTTTGCATCACCAATCCCCKAGCCACAGGATGAGGATGCTTATAGCTGGAAGGAGAGGGACCAATGCAATGTGGCAGATCTGTCTGTAGTTTGTCTGCTGGAGGACTGGCCCTGCTGTCTGTCCCTGTCCATCTGTCCTCTAACCTGTTCCTCAAGCCTCAGCCTAGTGTCCTCTGGTCCCCAAAGGCCCTGTTCTCCCCTGTACTCCATGGCATTTCTACTTTGTCACCTTTAGAGTTTTGGCCATAGCCCCTTCTGGAGGAGTCACTCCTTGATCTTGGAGGAAGGACAGGTTTCCTCAATCAGACTGTAAGCTCTTTGGGACTAGGTCTAAGTATTAATTGGGTACCTGCCTATCTCTGGTTTCCTGCAGTCCACCCCCTGACCCTACTTCTCAAGCACAACTCTCTTCATGGCCTCCCTATTCTCTGCTCACACAGCTTCAACAGCACCCCATTGTTCCAGAAAAAAATCTCTGGGGTCTTGGAGTCCAGCATTAACCTATCTCACCTGGCTTGTCCTGGATTACTCCCATCTTTCCCACATTGCACTTTCTAAACGCACCTAGGCCTTTCTCTGGATCTTTGCTGAAGCCGTTGCCTTTCCCCTGACCCTTGTGTCCAGCTGTGGACATCCTACCCTGCCTTAGAAGATTCATCTTAAATGTACCTCTTCCATGATTCCTGTGTTACTAGTAGACTGCTAGGTGTTCGTCAATACTAAGTCTCTTCCTTTGAACTAGAATCTTGTGTTTTGGTTGTGCTGTGGCCCCCTGGAATAAAGACTTCATTCCTTGGACTCCTGAACAGCTAGGTGTGGCCATGAGACTGTAGTCTGGCCCATGGTAAGCTCTGAAGAATAAAGAACCTGGGATTCTGACATCTCTCTCTGTAAGCTGCCCTAACATTCCCCATTGGCCTGCTTGTAGATCTTTTCATTTTTTAAAAAATACATGAAGGAAATAATGCTTATTATTTTTAAGCCACTTATTTTGGATTTTATGAGGCTTACATCTGAACTCAATCCTAATGGATTCACTCCTCTTCTCTGTTCTGGGTGGCTATGACCTTGTTTCAGTTTCCAGGTAGTTTCTTCCCTAGTCTTCTATGAGACTTGTGAGCCTGTTTCAGGTCAGGCTTGGGCCCCATCCATATCTGTGTTCCCTACAAAGCCTGGAAAGGCAGCAGGTGATCACGACACAATGGCCGAATGTATGGAAATAAACTGACCTTGCTTCCCAAGTCCTGCTGGGAAAGGCTGAGCTCAGAATTTCCTCCTCTGAACTAGGCTTTGAGGGCAGGGAACATGGCTCTGGTGCTTTACTGTATCCGAGTGTCCAGCACAGACTCTGATGTCCAGTACACTTTTAGGAAATGTTCCAAAATGCCCAAAATCATTCTTGGGAGCAGTGATCTTCCAGAGGACCTTACTGGGATTGACCCCTATCCCTTTAAGCTCTTCTCGGTTTAGCATGCTCCTCCCAAAGCCCAGTCCCAGCAGCCTGTCCAAAAAGAGGCTTCCTTGCCTTCCTTGGGAGGGCAGCTCCTGAATCCTGAGGCCCTCAGTTGGCTGAGACACACGGAGAATCAAGGACTTGAAGGCAAGTAGCTTCCTGGGTTAGGTCTCGCAAACCCTGGCCTGGTATCTCCTCCTTCCCACCATACTGCTTTATGTTGTCAGCCCTTCCCCAATCAGATTGTGAGCATCTGGTGGCAGGGATCTGCATTCCCTCTGTCTCCCCTGGACATGGTTAGTGGTTGGGACACAATAAAGGCAGAATTGGTGGCCAGACTCTCCAGTCCAAAGCCCTGGGTTTGGGTCCTAGTTTTATTCTATGTTCAACAAAAATACATATGGTATTAATATACATCACTGTTCAAAGTGCTTCACAAATATTAGTTCACTTAACCTTGGCATGTTTTCATTATTAGGTATTCTCATCATTCCCATATTATTAACTCCACTTTGCAGATGAGGAAACTTAAGCAACTTTCCCAAGGTCACACAGCTAGGAAGTTCTACTGCTTGTTGATTAAGTACTTTTGAGCAAACCACATCACCCCTCTGGGTCTCCATTTCCTCATTTTTGAAATGGGGATGAGAAGGCTCAGCTATAGGCAGGCTGGCTGATCCTGGGCCCTGTGCTTCCCCTGGCAAACCCCTGTCCAGGCAGGTCTACTGCCAGAAGGCAGACACACGTCCCACCTGTGTGCAGTTCCACCTCCACCTTCAGCTTCCTTAAGAGCAAGTCACCTAGACTCTTCTTCCCTGTCTCAAGGAGGTGCTCTATTTGGAGAATCCGCATCCAGCCCTGGTTCTTTGGGGTGCCCAAGTAGCTTCACTCCCCTATCCCCCAAACAACTCTGAACTTCTCTAACAAGACAGTCTTTGAAGTCTTTCTCACACACATATGGCAACATGTTTGCCCACAGAGCTGCTAATGTGACCATCTAATACGTTAATTGGTTGACTTCTTAGTTGAATCAAGAGTAAGGGTGCTGGAGAGAAGGGGGGCTGGTGGAAAGAAAACATCTGGTTATATTTAATCTATGTTTAATGATTCTGCAGAAGCAGTGTCTGTAATTTGTAACTCTCTGGAAAGCCAGTCATTAGAAAGTGTCAGTTCAATTTTTTACAAGGTTTGAGGCTTAACCAGGGCAGTTGCCATTAATAGCAAACTCTATTAGATCTGTATGTGGAAAATACTCATTAGGCCAGTGGGCGATAAATCAGACAATGCAGGATGCGGGAGTTACTCCTCAGCGGGTTAGGTCCTAATTTAGACCAGACCTATCAGTATTGACGGCTGGGTCTCCTAAGTTTAATAAGTAAACCTCAACATGTCAGGTGATGATTGAACTGTCCTAGGAGGGTTGCAAGCAAATGAAACTGTCACATATGTTTCCCTGGGGCCCAAACTTCTCATGACCTCAAAGCATCATGGAGTAAACTTTCCACTCATACATATTAACGGCCCGCAGACTTAAATAGCCCAGCTCAGCAGTGATTATTCATCAAAAGAATGGGTTCCCCTGGGAGGTGGTGAACTCTCAGTCAAGAGAAGTATTTAAACCGAGGCCAGATGAGATTCTTGCCTGGGTGACCTTGAAGTTGCTTTTAGCTCTAAGTTTACATTATCCTAAGATCCTTTCACTCCTTAAGGGTTAGAGTGCAAATTYTGCCAGGTGGGGTTCAGGATTGCATTCAGAGCTCTTCCGAAGGCCCCAGCCTTTTCCCATCTCTAGCTTCCACCTCCTTCAGCCATTCCCTACTGCTGGGTGATAGCAGGTCCAGGCCTCTCTTCTTTGTCTAGGCAGTTTCTGCCACCAGGGTGCCTCTCTTCCTTCACAGACTAAAAGCCCAGCTAAGACCTGCATAGTGCACGGAGCGTCCTCCAGATCCACACTGCCTTTGCCTAAGTCCCAAGCAAGGAATGGTGTGTTCTGGAGCCCAGTGCCTACCTTTTCTCTGGTTGTTCATGTGGAGGAAGTTTGTGAGTGGTGTTAAACCATTGGTACTTTGAAATCAACCATGGTGACACCTGCAAGTGTCACAAAGTGAGGCATTTCCCCACAGATAACTAGTATAGCACCACAGCAAAGCAAGTAGGCTCTCCACTCCCGTGGAGTGCAGTGGCCCTGGAGTTGATGTTGTGAAGGGTTTTGAGGCTGATATGAAAGCATGTGGAGAGGGACTGGCAATGCTCTCCCAGAGTCCTCTGCCTTTTACCACTGGGCAATCCGCATAATCAGTCGATGCCTGCAATGGATCTTTTCTATGCTTATTTCATCTTTCATCCCCTTGGTGAGGGTGTTGGAGCCAGAAGTTGTTTCTGCCACTCGCTAGCTGGGAGACCACAGACTAGTCATTTCACCTCTTTACGCCTGTTCCTTTAAATGCAGGATGACTTTGTCTCATGCCATGCAGTGCTCGGTTATTGGAATTGAGCCCTGAAGAGGGAAGGAGCTGCCATCACAGAATAGGAGGGGAACCCCAAGCCCTCTCTTTTCTGTCTTTTCCCTCCCAGGACCCGCTCCCTGCCCTGTGCCTTCCCCTTAGAGACAGTACCTTGGTTGCAGAGGGCTCCGGAGAATCCTGGGAGGCACTCACAGAGGCCACTGATGTGGTGGCAGGGCCCACTGCTGTGCACGCAGAGGGGACAAGACTGGGTGCAGCCGTGGCCATAGAATCCAGGGGGGCAGACTAAGGGTGAAGGGGAGATAGTGGTCAGCAGCCCCAGTGCCTCAGAAAGCTTGGCCACCCCTCCCATCCCATATTATAGTGAAGAGAGGCGCCTCAGAAAGGCAGGAAAGCTGCATCTTCCCCACACCTGGGACAGCCCATCCCTTCGTGGAGGGAGGAACTGTGGTCTGGTCCTGTTTTTAACCAAGGAGCTAGGCTGGCCCTGAATTGGGGACAAAACAGTCAGTGCAGGGAGAGAGGGGACCAAAGGGAGGGGAAAGAAGGAGATTGACTCCAAGAGCCCAGCCTCCCTCAGGTGGTACCAACTGGGTCTCTGGGGCCAGGGCGCAGCCTTACTTCTCTGGCATAAGGGTCCTCGGAAGCCAGGCGCGCATTCGCAGCTCCCGTCCTCTGGAGAGCAGGAGCCCCCGTTCTCACAGCTGCAGGAGACGGAGCAGTTGGGACCCCAGCGACCGGGTGGACATGTGCTGTCACAGCGGATGCCTGTGGGCCAGAGGCAGACTGCAGTCAGTGGTAGATGGGTGAGGGTAGAGGAAAGAATGGAGGGGTGGACAATGCAGTATGAAGAGGCAGAGGCAAGCACAGTGCGATTGGGGGTGTGGAGAAGAAGCCCAGCAGGGTACAGCTGGTCATGGAGAGCTTCCAGGAAGAGGTGAGGCCCCAACAGACTTCCAAAAGTCTAGGAAGAATTGACCAGGGAGAGGAAACCAGGCTTGCAAAGAGCAGGACAAAGCACCACACCTTGAGAGAACTTACACAGAACACGAAGTAACTGAACCAGAAAGTTCTAAAGAGGGCATAGCAGGAGATGATGTTGTGAAACTTAAGGGACCAGATGATGAAGAGCTGCCTCCATCTTTGACACCTTAGCTGGCATCAAGAACAGGTCCAAGAGAAACCGGCTCTGGGCAAGTGAGTGCCTCCATGGGGGCACTGGGGCTGGAGCTGAGCTACTTGCCCACCAGTGTCAGCCAGTCATTCCTGGGTTCCAGCCAACCAACCCAGGCAGGGGCTCCGAGAGTGGGTGAGGTCTTTTCATATTCTCTTGACCACAGTCCTCAGTATAGTATATATTTTATAACATATTACATACATACATCTAAAAGAAACCAACTATTTTTTTAAATACTAGTTGTAACCCAACAAATTGATTTAATGACCTTCATTTGACAAATAGCAGCCTATGGGGGAGTAGATAAAATACCTTAATAGGAAAGAAAGCCCTCTGCAGTTTTTTAAAGCTCAGGTAGAGGAAGTCTGTGCTGCAGTGATTTCAGCCTGAAGGCAAAGATGGAATTTTAAATGCCTGAGGCTGGATGCTCAGCTCTGGGGTGGGGTTTCCTCGCTGGTGGGAGGCTTTGGCTGACAGCATTATTGGAAGGGCGGCTGCAGGGCCCAGGGACCACCTGGGCTTTGGAAGGTGAACATCAGAGGCTCCGAGAGGGGCAGAATTAGTTTTTAAACCCTGTCTGCCTTGTTAAAAGGATGGGGACTGTGAGGAAGAGAATGAAAGCGGGAGAAAGACACTCAGACCCAGTGAAGGAGGAGTCAGCCCTCACAGCAGCAGGAGAGCAGAGGGACCAATTTGGAAGCACCTGGAATTGCACAGACCCACCTGGCTGCGGGAAGCAGGGGATGTGCAGGCTTTCCTCACCCTCGGTCCAGTGGTCGGTGGTGCTGTCCCTCCCTGGAATGCCTCAGTTTTGAAGCAGTGTGGTGGTGGGGTGGGTTTAGGGAGAAATGCCACTTTTTGAGAAATGGCAGGGAGCAGCCACATTGGCCATATTTTCCCCATCGATGGTGGTTTCTCTCATGGAGTTTCAGGTGCCTGAGAGGTGAACCTGCTCAGGCAACTGACTTAGCCCTGGGGAAGGGGAAACCACAAAATTGTTCAACGTTTCCCCTTCTCTAGGTACAGCCATTCCTCAGTATCCATGAGGGATATCCAAATCCAAGGATGCTCAAGTCCTTTATGTAAAATAGCACAGTATTTGCATATAAGAAAACATTTGAGAGGCCAGCATGGTGGTGCATGCCTGTAATCCCAGTGCCTCAGGAGGCTGAGGTAGGAGGATCACAAGTTCAGAGCCAGCCTCAACAAAAGCAAGGTGCTAAGCAATTTGGTAAAACCTTAACTCTAAATAAAATGCAAAATAGGGCTGGAGATGTGGCTCAGTGGTCAAGTGCTCCTGAGTTTAATCCCCGGTACCCTCCCGCCAAAAATAAAACATACAAAGTGTAAGAAACACACATCTCAAATACTTTCACTCTCTAGATTACTTACAATACCTAATATGGTGTAAATGCAGTGTAAAGATTGTACATGTTTGGTAGAGATGCAATTTGGTTTTTTAGATATTTTCTGTCTGCCGGTGGTTGAAACTTTGGATGCAGATTCCATGGATCCAGAAGGCTGACTACATGTGGAAAATTGTAATCTGCCCTAAGGAATTCCTTCGCCTGTGCTTGATGAAAACCCTGATCTACGCTGCAGCAGAAGACTTGCCGCCCCTCCGGAGGCATGCTGGGCGGGGGCAGAGTGTGGCTGTCTGATGGGGCCCTGATCCCACCTGTGCTCTCTGCAGCCTGGCCACAGCAGGTGTGTCACACAGATGCTGCCCTTTTCTAAAACCATGTATCGATGGTGATCCTCTAAACAACATTCACAAAAGTGCCACTGGATTCATGACAGCTTGTTGCTCCTGTGTTTTCYAGTCATTGCTGTTAAAGGTATAGCTACTCCCATGTATGGGATCCTCAGAGTGTTTGTGTTGAGAAAGGGTCCTAGACAGGGACCCACGAGTGTGTGGTGCTGATGCTCAGACTGCAGGTAGCTGCAAGGGCCCACTGGGCTCCAGGATTTGACAAGCATTATATTATGGGCCTGGTTCTAGGGGAGTAGGGTTCCTGTTTGAGGTCCTATGTGTCCTAAGAGCTCTCTGGAGCTTAAAATTGGCATTTCAGTGGGAAGAAGGGTCAAAGGGGCCTCCTGTGGGGAGTGCCCAGTACCAGAAGGGACTTACTCTGCAGCTGGATTGCCCAGACCCACTGGAGGGTCTGGCCTTGTCCTTGTGGCAAGCTCCCAGCTACAGCTTCTAAAGAAGCAGCTTCCTCCCCCATAGTTGAGCAGGGATAATAATCTGTTAGAGATTCTTTCCTCCTTACTCAAGGGAATCACATTATTTTAGTTTTCAGGACCCCCCTTCTCTACCCATCATGGGTAAAGCTGAGGATCCACATGCTGTGATCCCTAGATCATGCCACAGGGCCAGCCACTTAGCAGTCCACACCCCTTCAAGGCCCTTAGGGCTCTCTTCCAGGAAGTCTTCCTGGATTCTGCCCAGGGATTCAAACTTCTGTTTGATAGAGGCATACAGTTGTCTCTGTTACTTGAAAGTTTGATATACATGAATCCCCTCTCCCTGCCAGCAATCTGAAGATGAGGATGAACGCTTACTGATATCCTGGCCCTGCTCTCCGAGGCACTCCTCAGGGGCAGGGTGCTGCCTTGATCATCTGGTGCCCAGCACAGTGTTGGCACATACTTGGTACTCAGGACTGGGGCTGAATTTTGCCACTGAGCCTGGGTCGGTGCTGGGAGTGAGGCACTGTCAGGTAAAGTCTTGGTAACTGCTTGAGTCAATAACTGCTAGTTGAATGAGTTAAAGGCTCTCCCACGGAATGGCATCCTGGGTCTCCCGTCTTGTTGGCACCCCTGTCATGAGACCCAGATGTTTCCTCAACTGTAGCTGAAGAAGGCTGCAGCAGACAATCTTTAAAATCTCTTCCATTTCCAGGGGAGAAAACATATATGGCCCCAAGCCAGCTACTCTCAGGTCTGTTTCAGTGAGCATTCAGTGAGTACCTATTATGGGGAGGGTGGAGTGAACGCCAGTCACTGAGAGCTGTGGCTTATGGAGGAAGAAGGAGACACACCTCAGGGCAGACCAGACCCTGTGCTGAGCGACAAGCCAACGGCTGGGAAGGAAACTCTGACTTTTCTTAGGTTAGGGGTGGGTGGGACAGGCTCCCTGAGTCGGGGGAGGCCCAAGCCTGGACCCGCTCCCCATCCCTTCCTCTCCTTGGCCTCCTTATGCATGACAAACCCCAGGACATCAATCGCTTCTTTGAAAAGATGTCAGGACCACCTTTGGGGAAATGAGCTTCAGAACAGCAGAGGCCTCGCAGAAAGGTTGTCCATCAAAGACAGAATTTTTAAGCACCAGATGTCATTAAAATCTGATCAGCTCACTTGAAATTAAGGTAATGAAAAATTAAAGTGGATTTCCATTTGGCTCTCGCTCAGAGAGTGACCAGGCTGGAGCCTCCCCATATATTGAGGGGCAGCAGTCAAGAGGGCAGGGGAGCCAGGTGGGGGAGGCTGCAGAGGCCTGTTTGGGGCCCTTGGAAGCTTTCTGGTTGTGGAGAACAGAAGCTGGGCAGCAACCGGAGGTGAATTATTTACATGGGAACTTACACTGCCAGAAGCAACTGGATTTCTTTCTCTTTGCTGCTGCCCACCTTGGGACCGGCTGGTGGGTCCATTCACACATGTGCTGTTACTGAGCACTTCCTGTGCTGTGGCCCACTTTACCGAGCACTTCTTATGTGCCAGGCACTCTTAGCGCTCTGTGGCACCAACTCACTTAAACTTCACATGACCCTGTAGTTAGCTGTGAAGATTATAATTTTCTGCATTTTATGGATGGAGAATTCAGGCCCTGAAAGGTTAGGATCCCTCCAAGGTCATGAACCCAGGCAGTCTGGCTCAAGTTCTGTCCTGAACCATCTTATTATCCCCAACTCAGTGAGCAGCAATGCTGGTGGGAATGAGGCAGATCCTTCCCAAAGCCCATGGTCAAGTTAGGCAGGCCAGTAACAAAACACTCAGCTCAGAGTTCAAGGACAATGTGGCACTGCCACAGAAGGAAAGGGGTAGGTTATCAGAATTGACAAGTGGGGGCTCTTGGGACATGGCCAGGTAGTGCACAGGCCTTGTTCCAGAGGAACCGTTCCAGAGGAAGTAGCTTTTAACTTGAAACCTGGCACGCCGAAGGGGTCCTCAGGGCTGGGGATGCAGCTCAGTGGCAGAGCACTCACCCAGCATGCACAGGATCTGGGTTCCATCAATGAGAAAAGAAAATAGGATCCTATCAGGTAAGGAGAAGGGAAAGGAGTGATCCAGACCAACAGAAAGAAGGTACAAAGGCCAGGCATCAGGATGGTGGTTGGTTCCTGAAGAAGTACCCCTGCGCTCTGGTGACTGGGATCAGTGAGTGACACAGAGGGCCACAGAATCCTGCATTTTAGGTAGGAGTCACGGGAAGGCATTAARGCATTGAGAGCTTGCTGTGAACACATCTGAGTTTTGAAAAGCTCATCCTCCATGCACAGCTGGGCAAGAAGGGGTCCTTGTGACCAAGGTGGGGAACACGCATGCCAGAGGAGAGCAGGGCTCACAGAACCGCTCAGGGGCCTCAGGATGGAGGGAAGCAGATGGGTTCACCTTGTGCTTAGGATGGGCCCAGGAATTAGGATTCTGGGGTGGAGCTCCAGAGAGTCCCTTGTCCCCTCTCCGCCATATTCTCTACAAATTGAACACCTACACCCAAGTCTGTCCATCTGGTTTTGTGTGTGTGTGTGTGTGTGTGTGTGTGTGTGTGTGCGCGCGCGCGCGCTAGTGTGTCCCTAGCTTATAGAACAGAACCTGTACATCATGGGTGTCAAGAAGTGTTTGCTCACTTGAACAGAATACAAAACTGGAGCCCAGAGCAGAAAACGGGGATGGTGCACATTCAAGAAACATGAAGAATGGAATTGGAGGAGAAAAAGAACAGTTAGAGAATATAGGGGGCCAGCTTCTCAGGACCTGGGTAGTGGCAAGGCAGAGGAGTTACCTGTCCATCCAGCCAGGCAGCAGCAGTGGCCTGTGACTGGATCACAGCCATCAGCATGGCTGCAGTCACAGCGTTCACTGCAGTTCAGCCCGAATGTGCCATCCTGTGAGAAGAGGGGGACAAGGAAATAGTCAGACTTTGACTCCTAGAAGTGCACACATTTCTATTGGCTCTGGATGACAGGACAGAGCCATAACCTCACAGGAACAGACATGGAAACTGGGGCACAGTGGGGGTGCTTTTTGTAATCAGGGCCACAAAGTCACTCCCAAGAATTACTGGTTGCATTAATAGGTGTATGAGGTTTGGAGAGGGGAGTTGATGGTCCTGCCCCATTTTTCAATGATTAGGCTCAGAAGGTTGTAATGGTTATTAACTAAAATTGTAACTGAAAGGGCACTTTGCTAAATGGGACACATTGATCCCATGTGAGAAACAGCTATGATTCATTCTTTGTTCAGGGGGAAAATATGGTAACCATTTTAGTAAGAGCCTAATATACCTCATTTCTCTTAATCTTCACAATACTATGAGATGCTTCTATTATATTCCCACTTTAAAGATGGGAAACGGGGTTGGGGAGAGGAAGTAACACACTCAAGGTAATAGTGTGTGACAAAGGCAGGATTTGAACCCAGGACCTCAAAGCCCACTCTCATTCAATTTCACGTCAGTTGGTTTAACAGGCTAAGATCTAAGGATTAAGTGTGGGTAATGACTGTTGGAACCTGAGGAATTATAGCTCCCTGTCCTGCTCCTGCTGGGGACAAATCTGCAGCTGCTTTTGAGTTGGGTCAGAGGGCCAGCCCTAGATGCTGCTGACCCAGATGCCACTGGATAGACAGCAGGCCCGAGGCCCAAGGCAGGACAGTGGCCACGGAGAGCTCAGGCCTGTGACCTGAATTCAGTGTCCTCACCAAGCCCAGTGCGTTTCTCTGTGCATTCCTGTGGGGAAAGTGGCCGAGGTCCACCCTGGCACTCACGGGGCAGGGCAGCTCGCAGGTGTCCCCCAGCCAGCCCGGGGTGCAGGTGCAGGAGCCGTCGGAGGGGCTGCAGGCCGCCCCATGGGCACAGGCGCAGCTCTCATTGCAGTTCAGGCCCCAGGTCCCGCTGGGACACGGCAGGGTGCAGTCCACACCCTGCCACCCTGTGGGAAGGGAGAGGGACGGTCACTTCTCCCACCCAGCACAGCTTTCTGCCCACCCTGCCAGCTCTGTTATTGCAGCGTGCCCCCGACCTTCTGCCCCAGCACAGCTGCTCAGGGAGAGAGTCCCGCCGCCCCAGGTAGCCTTGCCTGGCTGGCCCTGACTGCTTTTGTCACAGGCAGAAGGTAGAAGGTCCCACCGGGGACAGGGACAGGGAACCAGCACAGGTGGGAAGCGTTTCCCTCCCAGGGTGGAGCTGCAGACTACCCCCAACCCCTCTAGGGGCAGGACAGGCCAACTCCCTGCTCTTTTTGGGGGGTGGGATTGAGGGTGTTCTGGGGACTGGACCTAGGGCGCTTAACCACTGAGCCGCATCCCCAGTCCTTTTTATTTTTAACTTTGAGACAGAGTCTTGCTAAGTTGCTTAGGGCCTTGCTAAATTGCTGAGGCTGGCTTTGAACTTGTGATCCTCCTGCCTTAGCCTCCTGAGCTGCTGGGATTACAGGGGAGCACCACCCTGCCCCTCTCAACTCCTCATTCTGAGGCTGGTCTGCCCTCAGGTTGACTTCTCCCCTTCCCTCCTTTGTCCTGTGGCACAGGGTGGGAGGACTGGGCAGCTGGCTCCCAGTGGGCTGGTCAAGGGCAGTCTGGCCCACAGACTAGGGGGAGGAGCAGGAGAGAAGCCAGCTGTGACCTCTTCCTTTTTCTGCCAGGGCTTTGGCAGTGGCCAGGCCCCCTCTGTCTATGTCCCAGTTCCTACCAGGTAAGCCTCATGCCCARGTCTGGGACTCCTTTTGTCCCTCCAATCCCAGGAGTGGTGCAGCTTCTACAGGGGCTCGGTCATGGCCCACCACTCTGTGTGTTCTTCAAGGACCCTGACACCCTTGAGAAGAACCCCTTTATGACATTCCTGCTATTGACATCCCTGGATGGAGTGTGAACTGAGCTCTGGCCCTGCATGGGCTTGGGTGGGCGGGAGCAGCCCCTCCTGACCCTCAGTCACCAGCAGGCTCGGGAGAGAGGGTGTTACCTTCCCTGCAGGTACAGGAACCGTCTACCGGGGAGCAGGTGCCGCCATTGTTACAGCTACAGACGGATGAGCAGTTGGGGCCATAGGTCCCTGCCGCACAGGGAACTGCACACACCTCTCCCTGGAAAGAGAGTGAGTTTTGCTCAGGGGTCTCCCTGTGCTGAGTGGCTGCGGCAGGCAGGGCGATGTGCCACCCCGCAGAGGCCCCGATCCCTGGAACCTGTAAATGTACTACTTTACAAGGAAAAAGGGACTTTGCAGAACCTTGACTCAGAACCTTGGGATGGGGACAGCAGCTGGGAGTGTTCAGGTGAGCTCATGAGCCTTTAAAGATAGAAGAGGACTGGAGGAGGCAGGGCCGAGAGAGGGCCGGCCAGGGGTCCACCACAGCCGGCCTTCACTTTGAAGATGGAGGAAGAGGCACAGGGCCAGATGCAGCAGCCTCTAGAAACTACAATCAATCTTTTTACAGCAGCAGGAACCGGGTACCTCATCCTACAACCACAGGAACAGATTCTGTCAACAACCTGAAAAAGCAGGAACCAGATTCTTCCCCTCAACTCTCCGGAAAGGAGCCGGCCTGCCAAGGCCTTGACCTCAGCCTGAGGAGACCCACAGACTCTGGCCCAAGAACTGTAGGATGAGAAACTTTGTATTGTCTTAAAACACTACATTTGTGGCAATTTGTTACCCCAACAATAAAAAATGAATACAGTGACCCTTAGAGGTTGGGGTGGGGTCCAGCCTCCAGACCAGGGCTCCAGGGTAGGCAAAGGCCCAGGGAGCGTGGCCCCACGAGTCTGTGTTAGGTCACATCAGCCCAGGACTTAATCTTCCCAATCTTATTTGATTCTTTCCAACAACACTGTGACACAAATAGTATCTTGTTGCCTTTTGCCTGAACCTCAGAGAAGCCAGGGGTAATGATCATGATTCCGTGTACTAACCACATTCCCAGTATCTTGCACCATGCATATGTCACCTCACTCAGTTCTTTATATGGAGAAGTTGTCTAACTGTCAAGGCCACAGAGCTGGAATGGCTGACCTCCTTCCAACCTGGGAACCATCTTTACTGGGTGACATAAACCGGTTTTCCTGGCAGGCATTCTTGGAGATGGGATCAGTGAGCTCGTGAGAAGAAGCCTTGCCTCTGTAAGGGAAGAAGGACTGAGTGGAGAGGCTGACCGGAGGCGATAAAGTCCTCTGCTGCCCTTGCAGGAAGACCCCTCAGAGTCGACCTCAGTCCCTTTATAGATGCCTCAGTCCCAGCATCTATAAAAGGGGAAGGTAAGAGAACCCTCATTCTCATCAGTGATTGGCTGATGTGGTCCTGGCACAGGGACGGGATTCCCCAGGTGAGATGGATGCCTGTGAGGGCAACTTCTAGAAAGAGCCTCAGCGGGGAGCCCAGCTTTCCAGGCGCTGGGAAGTGAGGCCTGGGTGGGAAGGGCGGGTCCGTTGCCCCAGGGACAGTGTGTGCTGTTGGCCCTGAGAAGGGTTCAGGGCGAGTTGCTGGGGAGGGGAGGAGTGCAGGAATGGGGACCCCAAGCCTTGAGGACTGGAGCATGCTGTGAGGGGCAGAGGCCGTCCAGATGGGGAGAGCGTCAGGGACCATGAGACTGGAGCCCTTGAAGGGTGGCTGAAGGGAGGGTTTGTGTGGGGAGGTGTGAAGGAGGTATTCTAAAGGGAGGCTGGGGACCTAGAATGGCAGAAAATGGAGTTTGGCTTTTCTTCCTGGAGTCCCCCCAGGGCATGCCTTCCCACCTTGGGAAACTGGGGCTGTCTGCTCTGGGGCCTGTTGAATTCTCATTTCCCCTTAGATGGCTCCAGCAGGTTCTTAGGACTCGTTCCTTAGCTTATTGTGAAACAGCACATCTTGGACCAGAAGACCAGAGCTTATCTGGGCTCCACTGGCTGTGTGATATTGATTAGGTTACTGCCCGTCTCTGAGCCTCAGTCCCAGCATCTGTAAAATGGCAGCCCTGGAGTAAAGGAGCTCACTCTCAACTCTTGAGGGTCCAACACCTGGCTTCACCTTCACTTAGGCCCCAGAGAGACCAGAGGCTATGGACCTTTGGCCAAGGGGACATTCCTGGGCGGCCCTCTCTACTCTGTCGCACAAGCACAGGCGACGTTAGGAGGAGGCACTAGGAGTGCCAGGCCTGCACCAGAGGCCCTACCGCCCAGTCTTGGAAGGCTTGACCAGTGGAGTCTGTCAGCTTCCCCATTACCCTGAAAACTCACTTCCCCAAGACTAGAAATGGCCCCAAAGACACACTCGAGCTCTAGGACCTGGGCCTGGGCGTAAATCTCAGGCACGGTGTCCACCTTTCTCTGCGAGGCCCAGCCTCCTGTCTGGTCCTTGACCCTGATCCTCCTGGAGACCTCCAGTCCCCTGTGGGTCCAGTTAGGGTCTGCGGATGGGGCAAGAAGCTTGAGCTGCCTGCCACCCACAGCCAAGGAGGCCACACCAGAGGATAGGTGTGCTGTGTCCGGGCACGACTTCCTCCCAGGGAATCCCTAGGAGGCCACCAGCTGGGAGGCTCTCTGCTTCCAGAACATAAAGAAGGGACTCAGAGGGGACAGTGACTTACCCAGGGCCCCACAGCCCACTGCAGTGATGTGCAGAGGGAGAAGCGGTTCTGCATTCCAGAGAGGAGTAGGGCCAAGCGAGCAGGTGGCCTCTCCCAACCTGCTGCCACCCTGCGGACACGCACTGGACCTCGCTCCCCACATCTGTGAAGTGGGACTAATGACCCTATGCACCGGACTGTTCAGAGGGTTAAACCAGTTTCTATTTGTGGAGCAGGTAGATCAATGGGTTGGGCAGAAAGCACTGTAAGAACTTATGTGTAGCTGGATGCAGGGGCACATGCCTAAGATCCTACTGGGAGGCTGAGGCAGGAGGATCTCAAGTTCGAGACCAGTCTAGACAACTAAGGGGACGCAGCTCAGAGGTAGAGTGCTCCCGGTTACCAGATCCCCAGTACCAGAACAGAACGAGAGAGCCGCGTGTGTCCTGGCATCTCTTATTAAAAGAACACACAGAAGCCTTGGAGGTCTAGGCAGGAGGCAGCTCTGGAGGACTGAGCCATTCCTCCAGCAGCAAAGGTGGGGTCCTGTGCAGGAGGGGAGGAGATGCTCCGGGGGTCAGGAATCGGACTCCAGGGTCAGTTTTCCCACCCATCTCCCCTGGGGGCTGGCTCCCCGTTCCTGTCCTCACACATGAGTGGCAACTTTGACACCAAGGCCCGGTTTTGGGGGACATGACAACTACTCCCCCTGGGGGCACACCTGTGGGTTCCCACAGCACAAAGTCCAAGTGGGGAAACGGATGGGTCCTAAAGCGGAGCCAGATACAGCCAGCTTCCTGAACTCCCCTCACCCACCCGGGGCCCAGTGTGGCCGCCTGCCTCACTCCAACACCTCAACCAGCACAGGAACCCTGAGCTACACTGGTTCAAACCACACCCCCCCCACACACACCTTCTAGCCTCTACCTGAGGGCGGGGCGGCTCTAGAGCTGATTAGCAGGGTATCTGGGGCTGACCTTCCAGCAAGCCAATTACAGGCATCCCTCAGCGTGGCCTGTCAGTCCTGCCCACCCCAGAGCTCCCCCCACCTATCCTTGGCTGTGGGGACTACTAACTGGCCTTAATCCTGATGATCTATGTAAAGTCCGAGTGGGAGAGGCTGATGTCAGGATAAACGTAAAGACTGGCCTTGAATTTGCCATCCTTCTGYCTCAGCCTCCCAAATGTGGGAATTGATGTCCAAGCGTGCTTGGGTGGCCAGCGCACTCTGTGTGTTTCTGTGCTGTCTCCGGCTGTGTCTGTTTTTCCATTTGTATAGATTCAGGAACAAATTTGTGCCTCTTCATGCTTTCCCCATCGGTTCTTCCCGGGTACTCTCCCCTGCCCTCGGGCCCTGTGCTGGTGGGAATGAGAAACACCAGCAGCCACCATCCTAGCACCCTGGGGGTCCTGTGGCTCCTATTCCTGCCTCCACCAGGGGAGATGGATCTGGTTTTCATGCCTAGACTCTGGGCTCCAGACGGACGCTGCTGGTGCATAATGGACCCTCAATAAATGTTTAATTGAAATGAGTAGTGTGTGCGTACACACTGCCTTCTGCAGTGGACAGAACCTGAAGAACCGGCACTTTCCATGTGCTTCTCTCTAGCCAGCCAATTCAGCAAGCCTGTGACAGGCTCCAGGGGCACAAAGGGGCCCTGGGCCCAGACTCCATCCTTGAGCAACGTGTTTGGTCACTTGTTTACTCTCTACCCCTCCAATGAGACTAGAAGCTCTGGAAGAACTGGGACCTTATCTGTCGGGGTGGCCCAGCATCCCTAGGTGAGTTCCAGCCACAGGGTACAGGAATTACGGAAGTGTGTTGAACAAACCAGCAAGGCCCTGGTAGGCTGGGCTGGTGACTCCTGCTGCACATAGGAAGTACAGTCTGGTCTGAGGACGAGTCCCTTGCTGCCACACTGACTCTGAGTCTCCCTGGCACTCTTGTGAAAAGGGAAAGCCAGGCCAGATCCCCGAGTGTGGCTCCATGCCCTGCCCAGCACCCCTGCCAGCTTGCCTAGCCAAGAGGAGGCTGAGAAGCTCATCCGGGACGTTATCCTATCAGCTTCTAGAGCATCTGCTCATGGAGTCTCTGAGCTGAACAGGACCTGAGGGGTGATGGCACCCACCCAGAGCCACAGGGCAGAGATGGACGACGGAGCCACTGCTCCCAGGGAAGCGGAGCGCAGTGCCTGCCCCAAACCCGCCCTGTGTTCATGTCTGTTGACCTCTTCACACTCTGGGGAAAAGGACCCAGTGAGAGCCAGGGTTGTGAGCTCAGTCAGCGGTGAAGGCCTTTGGCACCTCGTGTTCTGCATGGCCCAGACCCTCTTCCCAACCCCCAAGCCAGGCCTGGCCCCTACGCCCCTTCTTTGAGGCTGTTCCCCGAGATCACCGCCATCCAGGATTCCCACACATCTTTCTGGAAGGCAGGCTTCTCTCCTGATGGACACGTGATCGTTCCAGGGAATACACAAGCTTTGCTCTCTATGCCAATCATCTGTGGCATTGAAGTCAACCAATGTCCCCAACTTTTCACTATCCAG